TTTTACATAGAAACCACAAACTGTCTCAAATTGCACTCGGTAAATGTCGTATTATAATCCTACTAAACCTTCGCATTAATAAAAAAAAATGATTCAATTCATATTTAACTTCGTTAGTATAAAGGTTCTCTTCAGAAGTACCATGCCCAGTAAGATTAGAAATTCGATTCGATGCGTGAGCTGCGGCATCGTGTCCACACAATCTCGCCAAGGATTATCAACGTATCGTATCCCGACGGCGCTTTTCTTTCCTTCGAGCTTAAGTCGCGTTTTAGACGGTTTTAGTTAAGTCGAGTCGGTTGGCCGGTAAACGTTGTCCTGTCACTGCGAGCGTGATTTCTCGATCGTCGATTTCGTATGCGCTTGTCGTCGCGACGGTGCCGGAAAACGGAAATCTCGTGGGCTTTTTTCGGATTGGATTTTTTTGGTTTTTTTCCTTTCGTGAATCGCGGCTTAAATTTAGTCGGATTGGTGTTTGTTGTAGTGATTTGTTGTGGAGTGATTTATTTGGGGGTTTGTTGAATGTACGCGGTATAGTGCAGGAGTTTCAGGAGTGTTTGTTGGATGCTCGAATTGGATTTTTATTGTGGAATTTTTTTCATTGAAGTTGTATGTTATTAAGGAGCGTTTGTTTGATTATTTTTTTAAAAGCACCTTTGATAAAATTTACGAGGTGTTATATTGCAAATATCACTTTTAATTTTTTATTTGTCATTAGAAAGCACCTATACTTTTTAATTTCAACATTGACTATGTAAATTGCTAAATAATTTAATTAGTCAAAGTAGTACAAAGCAAAATTTTCGAAAAAATTAGAGCGAGGTGAATTAATAACACTTAATAAGTGCTAATATTTTTTATTACTAATTAATTAGTAAACCCCATTAAATTAAAATTCTTCAATTTCACGAATTTCTACTAAACGAACTAGATTTTTATTAATTTATAAGCATTTTTGTGAATTAATTTTGCATTAAAAAATCGTGCATACCCCACACTTCGAGGTCATTAACTGATTAATTATTCTCTGTTTAGAAATTTTTTTAAGTCTTTTTTGATATCTTTTTTATCTATAATAATTATGTAAAGTTTCGTCTCTGTCACATAAATTACAAGGCAATAAAATTTGATTATTCCTAATATCCAAAAGGAATAGTTATAAACATGAAAGTTAGCAAAAAACGAGTTTTATATTTTTTTTATTGTTTATTATTTATGATTATTTAACGCAAAATGCGTTTACTAATAATTACCAGTAGCGTGCATTTTTTTAACATGTACGACACTGGTTTCATCCCGTTTGTTTCCACCGTTTTTACTACACTTTTATTTTTCCATAATTACTCTGCTTCAAAAACATTTACCTATTGGGTACCTACACTAATAAATTCAGACACGCATACATACTCGTAGCTTACAAATGTTTTTCAAACTAATTACCGTATTCTTGTGTCACACAATTTCCAAGTAAACAAAGTGTGTAACGGAAGTTTTGCAATTAATATAATACAGTACGTACAGATGGAAATTATTTGGTTATTAATTAAACGAAAATATAAAGTGTGCCATAATTCTGTTAGGTTTTTTTTGATTAAATTAAGATCGAAAACGTGTGGATTAAAATTATTTCCAATTTAACAATGAGGTGTTACACGAAGGAAATTGCATAATTCTTCTCAAGGTTCTCATCGTCGACGTATAGGTTTGCATACGAAAATAACATACGGTATAATTAAAGTGATAATTGCAAAAACTCGTCGGGACACCGGAGCAAATGGATTTTCATGAAATAGATTACGAGATTAATTAAAATAAAGTTCAAAGTCATTTTATTGTGTCGTGAAGAGTTCATTTTTATTTATTGGTTAAGACTTTTTGCCATGCAATTTTAAGCTAATGCCTCTCGGTTTTATTCAAAAGTTAATATGCCTATTTCATTTTGTTATTTAAATGTATTTATACAAAACATTTTCTATTGAGTTACTATTAAATTTTCTCAAGGATATGTTATTCTCTTGAAGTGAAGTTGTTGATGACTCCTATGCAAATTAAGCGATAATTTTTACCTAGGAAATGATTGAAAAGCTCTACACGCATTTAATTACTGATTACCATTCGAATTTTATATTATATCACTGCGTATCGTAAATAATTTATTATTTACTACATCAATAATAATCAGTACGTAATTAATTATTGTATAATTCGAAGTTTTTTACATAACGCCTTTTAAAGAATGACATAATTAATAGAAAAAAAATCTTATCAATAAAACGCCCGAAGAAAGAAATTTCATTACACTACGCCTCAAGAAAGTATACGAACGAGGTGTCAGTTGTCACTTATATTATTAAATTCCATAAAAATTTGATCATAATTTTACTATTAGAGTGTAGAAAGCCGTTTCCTGTTTCCATTTTTGCTCCAACGTAATTGCCATTGAAAAGAAGTTACGCCTCACGATTCGTATTGAAAATGAGGCGCTCATTAAAACGGGCTCACTATGTAACTTGCAACTTGTACCCAGTAGCATTTGAAAAACAACATTCGTTTTTCGTTGTACGAACCGATTTTACGGTCGTAATTGTCAGGTAAGTAAGCGCAAGGAAACGTGATATTCGAATCTACAATATTATTTTTTATTGTTCCACCTTCGAGCGAGATAAAAAGGATATTTAATATCTGTTTATTTTTGTTAATGCGCTTGTAGCTTGAATTACCTCTAGTTCAAGTGTGTGAAATGTATTAATTGTCTAAAACTTGTGAGCTTTTACCTCAAAAAAAATTAAAATAAAATTAGTTTGCACTAATGTTTTTGAAAATTCGTGTTATTTTTAATCTTATATGCAATTCAAATCGTTTTATTTTAGAATATTAAATACTATAAAGTTAAATGCTATTGACTTATTTGAACCTGTGTTAGTTTTTGCTAAAAATTTCATTGCGAGTGTATAAGTACCTACAGCAAAAATACCAGGCATTAGCAGTTTCCAAGGTAAATTGGTTAATAAAACGTTATCTCTTTATTATAACTAGCCAATATAGAATTACCTGTTAAATAAGAATTTTATGCAAATTCGAGAAATTGCTCCGATGTTTGTAAACAACGCTCCTTATTATGTACTTTCCTCGCGAACCGAACAAATCGAGCTAATCTTTACCCAACGAACACGAACGGTTGTTGCCATTTTTTCGAAATTTCTTCTTCCCTTCGCAACACTATCATTAAAATTTCTCGAAACCAAACCTCATTTTTATCCGTCTTGCCCCAAGGGAACCAAGAAATTTTATCTAAACCGGCAACACCAGGCAATCAATCACAACCACATGAACGTTTGAATCTTGAATCCCAGTAAGCGAAATGCTGCACGTCGCGTCGACCTTCGAGAGCTCCCTGCGGCGCGACGTCCCGCCGCCGGGCGCCCGCAAGCACGGCGGCTGCAAGGGCACGGCCCACGGCAGCGGCACCTACGGCAAGGAGGGCGAGCCGCCGCCGTCGCCCTTCCAGCGCGGCGGCTCCCAGCGGCGGTCGAAGCGCGCCGCCAGCGACGCCGAGTCGATCAGCTCCTGCGGCGCGGACGCGAGCCCCTTCCGGCGCGCCTCCTCGACGAGGCTGTCGGCGAAGGCGGGCGAGAAGAAGACGGCCAGCGTGAGCTCGGAGAACTTCAGCGAATCCGATTCGCTGGATTCGCTGGGCGAGAAGACCAAGGGCTCCGAGGCGGCGGACGGGGCTTCGAAGAAGAGCCACGAGGTGGTGAACAGGCTGTTCAATACGGTGACTAAATCGGCGATGGCGAAGACGGCCAAAATGAGGCATCTGGATATCTTCGACGTGGATGATAATAGCTGGATCGGAGGTCTCAGGAAAGGTGGCAATGAGGAATCGACCAAGAAAGTGCCCTTCGAATGCGAGGGGTTTTTAAATAGATCCAGGAACGGCTCGTTTCGCAAAAAGTCTGTCGATTCGAACTCGGAGATGAGCAGACACAACGGGCATACTGAAAATGGGTCGAAGAAACCGGATAGCCCGTTCCAAAAGTGTTCCAGCAGGAGCAGCTTCAGGAAACATTCCACCAAGAAAGTTTCCAAATTGAAAACCATCGGTTACGATGAGATAACTTTTATGAGCAACAATAAAAAATCTTTGGGATTTTTTGTGAACGTAGATGTAAATGATTGCTTCAAGGAGTTTAAAGAGCTACTGGAAAATGTAGAATATAAGGTTAGTGAGTGCAATTTGTCACACGCAGGTAAATTAGAAACCCCAACATCGAATTTACACCTACTTATATTTATACTGTACCGTGCGTGGTCGCAGGATTCAATTAACATGCCTTAATTACCGAGTATTTTACGGATAAGTAGTTGTATTGGAATATATTAATTTCCGAATGTAAGTTGTTTAACATACATTCACCCACATTAGACATTTCACCTCGTAACCGACAAATTTCACTCTCGATAAACATTCCATTTCTACGTAAAGTTGTGTATTCAAATCGCAAGTGCCCGGTCTTCGCAGGATCCAAAGAGAAATGAAGTTATTTGTTTAGTATTTCAAAACGTAAGATAACGAGAATATTGTTTAAAAAAGATTGTTTTCGCCTCGATTATCAATTCCTTCTCGATGACATTTTCCTGAAATTTTAATACATTTTTCTTGTACGAAGTTTCAAATACGGATCTGCATATTCGCGTTTCCCAATAACGAGAACGTTCGTAGATAAAGCTCAAATTCTGAACTAATTGGATTACATTACATGTACATTCTTGCAATCATATTTAGCTTGTTTGATTTAGGTATCTCGATGAGTCTCAAGAGGCTAGAGCGCTTTGCTTTCACTCTTTTTATTGAAATTTCTAACAAACAGATACAAGAAAACCGAATAGTAGGTCACCGAGTACGAGAAAATGAAAGATTGCGATAAAGTTAATCTACAACGAAACTATTCGTTTAAGCGGCTGGTTTCCTGGATGAATATTTTGTGTTTTTGTTACAGGCTAAGACTGAAGAGCACTTGGTGAACGAGAAATTATGGCTGGACGCGGAGAAACTGTGGCTGATGCACCGCGGCGGTTTCGCGGCGGCCAGAAAAGAATCCGGCGGAGAACAGGAACCCGGAAAAACGAAAATTCGCCTCGAAGCCACCGGGGAAATCCTATCGGTCGACGAAGACGATATAGAAAAAGTAATAAATGCAGAAGTTCCGGTAGTTCAAAATTAATCGAATTCGTTTCAGGCTAATCCTCCTCAATTCGACAGAGCTGAAGATTTAGCTTCTTTAAGGCATTTAAACGAATCCAGTCTATTGCACACGTTAAGGCAACGATACGCCATGAATTTAATACACACTTATGCCGGATGTGGAACGATGTTGATCATCAATCCCATGGCTCCGCTTGCTATATATTCCGAAAAAGTAAGTACATAAAAATTGATTTTAAAGAAGGTTTTTTTTCCACAATTTCTCTACGATCTACTTTTCTACATCTCTGCTACTCTACTAATCACTTTTATGGTCGCTGTTTCTCAATTTGTCTACGAACTACTTTTCAGCTTCTCTGCTACTCTATTAACTACTTTTTTTGCTTCTCGACTTTGTTTTTCTACCTCTCTGTTTCTCAATTTGTCTACGAACTACTTTTCAGCTTCTTTGCTACTCTACTAATTGCATTTCTGCATCTCTACTTTGCTTTCCAACTTCACTGTTTCTGAATTTGTCTACGAACTACTTTTCAGCTTCTTTGCTACTCTACTAATTGCATTTCTGCATCTCTACTTTGCTTTCCAACTTCACTGTTTCTGAATTTGTCTACGAACTACTTTTCAGCTTCTCTATTACTCTACTAACTACTTTTTTTGCTTCTCTACTTTGCTTTTCTACCTCTCTGTTTCTTAATTTGTCTATGAACTACTTTTCTTGTTCTCTGCTACTCTACTAATTACTTTTCTACTTCCCTACTTTGCTTTTCTACTTATCTATTTCCCAGTTTCTCTACGAACTACTTTTCAGCTTCCCTACTACTCTACTAACTATTTTTTTCCTCTCTACTTTGCTTTTCTACTTTCGTTAGCAATTCGCTATTTACATCAGGTTTTGATTGATTTTTTTTTACAAAATTGATTCCAAAATGTAGGTCCGTGAGAAAATCCACAGGTTCTACTTAGTACTAATTTCATTAGTAATCCGACTGTTATTTACTCACAACGTTATTTATTTTACGTTAACGTAAATATATACGACGTAGATACAATAAAATTATTTGCCCGCATTCGGCTTAACCCAAGCGGCATATTGTCGGAACAGTTCGTTCGCCACATAAAAAAAATCCTTAATCATTGTTACACAAACATCGTAAAACGTACTCGGAGACAGTTTTATGTAAATGCACCTACATATCCAGGCAGATAAAGAATCGTATTCTTTCCGTTTTAATTGCTTTCGACCCGGCGAAAAAGGCGAGAAAGCAAACGACAAAAGGCCTCTCTTTACGTTTGTACGTCAACGGTTCGATCCCAATTAAAGTTATTGAAGTTTCCTTGGGTTAATTCGCGTTGTATTCGCCTGGTTTCCAGGTCGTGTCGCTGTTCAAAGGATGCAAATCGGAGGACATGCCGCCGCACATTTACTCCACCGCCCAATCCTCCTATCAGGCCATGTTGTCGACGCGCCGCGACCAAAGCGTCGTGTTTATGGGCCGATCCGGCTCCGGAAAGACCACGAATTTCCGGCATTGCGTGCAATATTTAGTCACGGCCGCCGGATGCGTCAACAAGGTGCTGACGCTCGAGAAATTGAGCGCCCTGTGGACGGTCCTGGAGAGCTTCGGGAACTGCAAGACGAGCATGAACACCAACGCCACCAGGTGGGTATTTTATCTCGCGCGTTTACGGCGAACTTATCGAATTAGTAATTTTCATATGCTGTATCCAGAAATAAATTGCAATTTCGTGTGTAGATATAAAAAATGTGTAAGTACCAATCTTGCGTTGGTACATTATTCTACACATTTTTGTGTTTGACTCACCTGTTACTATCTCTACCGGTGCAATAGGTGACTTAATTTTATTAATAATTCATTCGTTTAATTTTTTTCAAGATTCACGCATATATTCAGTCTGGATTTCGACCAAAGCGGCGCCATATCGTCGGCCAGTCTGCAGGTGTTGATGTTGGAAAAGGCGAGAATAACGAAAAAACTGGATAACGAGACCACCTTCCACGTTATGCAGCGACTTTTGTCCGGCGTGGAGGGCAACGTGAGGAAACAGTTGTTTTTGGACGGCATCACCGGCAACGAGACGAACCCTTTCATCGGTTTGCTGCAGAAGCACGAGGACAAGCAGCGCGCCCAGATGGAGTTCGTGAAAACCTGCGGCGCCCTCAACGTGCTGGGGGTCACGGACAACGAACAGAAACTGGTGTTCTCCGTGCTGGCGGCCATTTTCCATTTGGGCTGCGCGGGCGCTGTCAAAGGCAAGTTTATAATCCTTTGTAATTGCTCGTTACGTGGGTATGTTGGTACAGAATCAGCATAACTACTTCTCGGTTTCTTTGCTTTTCTACGAACTACTTTTCAGCTTCTCTGCTACTCTACTAACTACTTTTTTTGCTTCTCTACTTTGCTTTTCTACTTCTCTGTTTCTCAATTTGTCTATGAACTACTTTTCAGCTTCTCTGCTAATCTACTAACTACTTTTTTGCTTCTCTACTTTGTTTTTCTACCTCTCTGTTTCTCATTTTGTCTACTAATTATTTTTCAGCATATCGGCTACTTTCCTAATTACTTTTCTGCTTATCTACTTTGCTTTTCTACCTCTCTGTTTCACTATTTCTCTATGATCTACTTATCTGCTACTTCACTTTTCTACTGGCTTCTTTGTTTGATTTTGGCGATTTTTGATAGATTTAAATATTGTTTTAGCCGGTAATAACAATCGTTACCAATTCGCGAATCCCCAAAGCGCCCAACGAGCGGCTACATTACTCGGAACGACCATCGAGGAATTGTCGAGGGTGATATTCGGCCTGGCCTCGGGAGGAATGAGCACTCCCAATCAACCAAGAGCCCCTTTCAGGACGCCTTCGCCTACCGATAAGGGTCTAGATCGAGAAGCCGTCGGCCTAGAAGCGGTAGAGGGCGTTATAATCGGCCTGTACGCGGAAGTGTTCAATTGCATAGTGTCCCTCATCAACAGGTAGATCGTTTCGCAACGTCTCCCTTCGTTATTCCGATGATTGTGCCGTATTCCAGGTCGATATCGTCGTCGAATTACACGGTGTCCTCGATCCTGTTGGTCGACAGTCCGGGTTTCCAAAATCCGGCGACTTGCGGCCGCCAGGCCGGCGCCTCCTTCGAAGATCTCTGCCACAACTACCTCCAGGAGCGCATCCAGTTGCTGTTCCACCACACGAACCTCGTCGCCCCCAAAGACAAGTACTTGCAGGAGAACATCGATTTCACCTACGACGAAAACGAAAACGAGAACTTGATCAATCCGACGCCGCTGGTCAATTTGCTGGACAAGGCCGCCCAGAACAGCGTCATCAGGACGTCGCAGACCGATTTACACGAAGGCATGTATCTCTAATCAAACTCTCCATTTATAACTGTAATCTCATAATCACATAACATTTAACAAGAGTGTCTGTATTCAGGCGATAGAAGAGGCCTACTGTGGCTTCTCGACGAAGAAGCAATGTATCCAGGCTCATCGGACGAGACGTTTCTGGAGCGATTGTTCGCCCACTACGGCGAAAGGGACCATCAGTTGTTGCTGAGAAAAGCGCCCGGAAACAGCCAGTTTATCATCCAGCACCTGCAAGGTACCAATCCGGTGCTCTATTCGGCCAAAGGCTGGCTCAAGTGCAGCAGGGAGAATCCGATCGCCCGGGCTGCTGTGGGTTTGTTGCAGGAGAGTTGCAAGTGAGTTTCGTTTTACTATTATCCCTGATTAAACGACCGTTGCTGTGATTTTTTTGCTCGCGCTCGGTGCTTGGTAGTCCGGAGATATTAGCGTTGGTTCACGCCGGCTCTCTTATCGAGGACTGGTTCGAATCCTGGCAGTTTCCGCAGGAAATAGCCGTTGGGAGGAACCGATATACTAAGCCTCGCATCAATAGGTAAGACTAGCAACGGTGAAGGTTTAGGTAATTGGGAGAAATCGTTGCAGGAGGTCTAACGTTACGTTTGTTGCAGGGAAGACCTTAGCGCGTTGTTCGTCAGCGTAAGAGGCCTGGGCCCGTCGAGTTTCGGCGGTTCCGTGGTAGGTTTGGACGGTTCGCAGTCGTTGCGAAGGGCTTCGAGTATCAGGAGGACGTTTACGGGCGCTGCAGGAATAAAAAGGAAGAGCGTCTGTTTGCAGGTATATATTTCTTCGTTTTTTTTTTGTATCGCTTTTTAATTGTAATCGGTTCGTTTTCAGACTAAATTCACCGTCGACGGTCTCATAGAAACGCTGCGAAGGACCAAATTGCGGTTCGTCCAATGTATTTTACCTCAACACAATGCTGGGCTCTGCGAAGCCAATGCATCTTTGATGGCTGTGAAAACTACCGGACAACCCGACGATTCATTGTTGAATGTGCCTCTTCTCAGGTCCCAAGTATGTATACTACTGTTGCGTGGGAGATGAATACTGGAACTTTAGTAAAATTCATATAGTACCATACAGCAGTACGAATACACGGCGAAAAATGCTTTAATAACGGTGACTTGTAGCTGAAGGATAGGCAACCCATTACACGTTGACTGTTGTTAGTTTATCATCATTGAGGGTCACTTTAACCTAAACAAAGTCCCTAGTTACTCCATAACAACAATGTAAAACTGTCAAGTTAGAGACGCGACTTTGAAGTCTTGTTTCAGGATAAAGTGGGGGCGCTGAATACCGGGCAATGTCTCCTCCACTTTCTACTTGGTAAAAAATCGTGTATAGTTGGTTGCCTAACCATCAGGTTCGAATGTCTGCCATTTTAAATAGCTATCTCCTTACTGGTGCTTTTCTCGACTTCTAATTTTTACTAAAGTACCAATTTTCATCCATCTAACAAGCCAATGTAGTGTGTTCATTTTTTGATTATTTTTTGTTCAATGCAGATAAGGGGCGGGCAAATATTAGACGCTGTTAGATTGTACAAACAGGGCTTTCCTACCTCACTACCTCTAGGCGAATTTAGAAGAAAATTCCATTTACTGGCGTCGGATTGCAAAACTACCGGGCCGATTTTGGACGAACGAAAAGCCGTGGAAGATATGCTGGTGGCGTTGGATTTGGAATTGTCGAGTTATCGAATCGGACTGAGTCAGGTGAGGATTTTTGCGAATTGTCTCATTAAATTTCCGTTTATTTCTTGCTGCTATCGTTTAAATTAATTTAAACTTTCATATTAGTGATTAATTCGATTTAATTAAATCTCGAAATTGTAACAAGAACGCGTAAAAACTGGTCGTATCGTAAAAGGAGGAAAACGCGTAACTGCTTTGAAGAGTATTGATTTATTCATGTATTCCAAAATAAATACAAGTTTTTGAGCGAGCAGCGATTTTACGGTAACAACACTTTTTCTATTGGCAATTTATACGGCACGCCTCTCAATTAATTTAAAGCAAAAAAATAGACAAAAGGAGAATTGCATGTGTAAATATTCTTCATCTAAAAACATTACTACAGTTCGTTATGTTTTACGTAATTTTTAGTAATTGCCGCGCAATTTGAAGTTTCCCTAGTGCCAATGTTAATTTGTTGTTTTTGTGACTTTCCCAGCTATTTTTGTCTTTTTCTGAAGCGTTCTAAATGGTTCTAGACAGTTCTAAAGGATTCTGCAGCGTTATAAATGATTCTGGAGCATTATAAACAGTTCTTATACATTCCGGTGCGTTCTAAATTGTCCTAGACAGTTCTAATTGATTCTATACAGTTCTAAATGATTCTGGAACGTTCTAAATTGTTCTAGACAGTCCTAAATGATTCAAGATACTGAAATAGATTCTAGGCGAGTAGTTTTTGTGTTTTTCGTGCGGGTCCTTTGTACTATTCAATCAAATTAATACTCGCGAATTCGTATCTCCTTGCGATGTTCTTTTTCATATTTAAATTCTATTTGTAACTTATTTAATTTGAAAACATTGAAACTAAACATAAGCTTAAATTAAATATATCAGTAATATAAGGGATTTCAAATACAACCCGGCAACGTTGCAACGGGATGGCTCGTGACGTCATTATCAGTTTAAAACGTACGAACTTTACCTAGAAATTATTTAATGAAATAGTTTAATGTCCTCCTGGCCCCTTTTATGTAATCTCCAACAGTGTTATAACCGGGAAGCATTCGATTCATTAATTTTTAATATCCACATAAATTAAATTAATGGTTATTCGTGTAACGTAAATTGGATGAAAAATAGTTGGAAATCTATCCACACTTTATACGCACACATGAATATTTATTCGAGCGACTTGTTTTTTTTCACGTTAATTAATTATACCTATTGCCACATTACGATATGAAAGCTGCAAATCGAGTTAAAGTGAAATGAATCTAATTCCAATTAGGATTCGTGAGCCTCGCGACATTGACGAGAAATTCGAAAATTAAATTACTCGATCTAATAGTTACGTTTGTTGCGTAATTGTCGAATGAATTATACAGGTTTCTGCGAAAAGTAAACCACCTCACAACGGTCTATTAGCGAAACGATCCGTTAATTGTTTTTATTAATGTAACAGCTCGTAATCATCGCATCGTGAAATCCACAATCCCAACAATCTATCGTAATTTATAATTCAAAGTGACCGTAAATAACGACTATAACTAATAGCTCGCGTTATTGAATCAATCGGTTTATTATATTATTAACGGTCGACGGACGCTCGCAAGGGATCGCGTTATTAGTAATTTAATTACTGTTATTAATTCGCTTCTAATAGATTTTCGCCACGCGAGAAAGCGTTTTTTTTGTTTTCTCTTATTGCCGATTAAAGTATTGTAATTCGTGTCAATGTCGTCTTGTGGTCCATCAAAATGTTTTGTTATGTTATGCAATTATTTTGAAAACTGACTTATCATTTCGTGGTAGAATGATTTACCTGTTCTGTGTCATTATCAATATTATCCACGGTCTTACATGCGGGTCTGGAAACTTAGCGTCTTTTGTGGTAGTGAGGGCTCTTATTGTGAGAGTTTCTAGACCTGATATTATTCGACCGTGATATTATCCAGTGATTGACATTTGACAGAAATATTTATTGGATTTTTGTGTTTCGTGTTTGACGTTTAATTGAATTGAAGTACATTTTTTCATCAATTTTGAACGAGTTAAAAATACCACTGCAATATTTATTCAACTACTAGGAAACGCTGGTGTGTGTTTCTCATAGCGAAATAAAAGGCGTCGAAAATTTAAATCGAACGATGAATAGTTATTACTACTACCGAGAATTATTATTTTTACATTCGAACGCCATGATTTATGTATCAGGAAATGGCTTTTGGATTTTTCATTTATTTATACAAGAGAGAGGATCTCTGGATGACCGTAGGCGTAAAAGTCTTAACACTGTACGGTATTGACGTCAATTTCGATGGGTATTCGCTGTTAATTCCACTCCCAGCGGCCCTAAAGCAACGGAAGACCGTCGCTCGCTATTCACCATGGGATTTATTTAACATCGCAAACCTACCACTTATACTACTCGCATATGCAACGGTTGAGACTGGTTTACATATCGCGGCTTCGCGACCGATTGATTAAAATCGTTCTTCGGCTATGCCTGGTTAATGTTGGGGGAAAATTCCTCGCTCGTCTAATAATTGATGAATGTTTAACAAATTTATTCATAATTTTCTGTTAATAAACGTTTCGCGTCTTGCGTTTAAGGGACAACTTTTGAACCACCTCGTATATGCGCCAGTTGCATTTGTGCCAGAAAAATTGGCTTGAAGTTAATTGGGCTCGGGAAAGTTTTCTTTCCGCGATCGAAACGGTTTCGATTTGATTTCAATTAGAATTTCGAATATAATCGCTAATAAAAATAGGCGCTTTCAATGAAATCAAAAATAGCTTTTGATAGCGACAGCTCATCTATCATCCACGAGTGGTGTAATTGAACTTTCTAGAGCATTTTTTGCCAATCGCGGTTGCCTAGATTTAATTAATGTGTTCGACGATATTTTAATAGTTTATCTAGCAGATTATTATATTTTGATTATGTTTTATTAGAAATATTGAATATGTTAATGAATAGATCGTTTATTTGGCGCGTAAGTGTTTGTGTTAAAGTTTCTAAATATCAATTTAAAATTGTGAAAAATGAAATTTTGTATTATTAAGCTAATCGTTCAAATAACGCTTATGAAACTGGGAAAGATATTGAATTATTGTTTTTAAGGAAACCAATAATACAAAGCTATTTTCTCTTCCGCAATTATTTACGGTAGTCTTATGGTAAAACAAACAATTAAGCTGTTTAAACCACCAATAAAATAATTAAATATTATTTTGAAGTAGGTCGACCTAATGTTTAAACCGCATTTCTAATATGCAAATTTTCCTACAATGGAATTAGGAATAAATTATTTATCAATTTTGTGTTTAATTTATTCGTGAAAAATGCAAAAATATATAACGGATAGCTGATTTACTATAAAATCAATGACATATGGAACTGACTGGTATTACGGTTAAAGAGTCGAGTGGAATATTAAACTTGTCAAAGATAAAATATTTAACGAAAATTTCAATATTAATTTTCACACGAATTAACGGGAGTCTCTCGCAAATTTACATTTTTTAACAACATTTTTTAATTGCATAACAATAATTAAGCAAAGGTCAGGAGTGTTTGGTGTATTTTGATCATTAATTTCCCCCTATAAAATAATAATAAATAATATTTTTTTATATTTGTGAAGCCAATTAAATTGTCACAATCGTTGGAATAACATTCGAATAACACGTTGCATCATTTAACTGTAAATTTCACTGGTCGAGTCTTGCCCATCAGCAGTCCCGATTGTAATACAGGCATCAAAATTTATCCGACTAATTAATAATCCAATAATAAAACGAGTTGCTCAATTTTTTGCGGCCCACCTGTTCCGAAAGCACCGTAAATTCTTTTTAGTCTTCATGTCTTCTTATTGACGTTTCTGGCCTTTCTCTTCTGACTTATTCGATCGGGCAAAACTGACGGGCTCCGTAATAAACAATTTAATCGTTGCTGCATCTCGAAACGACGGTAAATCATTGAAATGCTTCCCGTTTTCTTGCCGATGCTAACCTAATGGGCATACGAGGTGCTTTCGTTTTGTTTGCGAATTATAGGCAAAACCGAACCCGCTGCCTATTTATATTCGAAAATCATTTAAATCCTTCGCTTTGCGATGAATTTAGCATGCCGGTGGTCGAAATTCGTTTTATTTATTATCCGTCGAGTGAGAGTTCTTCGATTTTTTTTGCCTTTAGTGAAAGTTACCTCGAACTAACATTGTATTCTCAACTGACCGGCGATCGGTATTTTATTTATCGAAATTTTATTCATTAACAAAGCCTCTTCGGAATTTTCGGCACGATTAAGTAGGCTAAACAGCAACGTTCAAGTGCACTCGGACTTTAAAGATCATCGGGCGTATCATCTGGATAATTGCGATTAATAACATTTATTTAACCGCGGTAATACGATTACAATAGAATTTCGAAAGGAAATTTCGACGTGACCGATATGTATTGTAATTAAAGCGGTCGCGGCTTAGACGGGGGGGACTATTTGCACAAATGATGGGTCGTAGGTCATCGTTGTCGATAGAAACCTCGAGGCTTTATGAGCAAAAGTAGGCGAATCGTTTATGCAGGCCATCATTGGTATGTTACGGTTGTTCATAGGCGTTCGGAATGGATATATTGATATTAAATTTGCTAGCCCGAATGTTACATAAAATTTTTAATGGATTGTTGCACCTAGTTTGTTTATTACATAAGAAAAAACACTCTTGTGACACTCTGGTTTTGTTAAGGGAGAGTTTTTAGAGAATTTTTGAACATCCTATTAAGTTCAGTTAGTTCAAAATTTGGCCTCTTTTATATCTTAGAAAACAAATCAATTTGTTGTGATCAATGTATGTAGCGCATTCAAATGCATGATACCAGTCTACTTTTGAAAAGGCGATGAAATAAATTAAGCATCTAGATAAATATTGAATCGATAGATGCCAGTTAATCTGTCGACGAACATCTTCGATCATTACCATTGACCGAGTTTCCCGGGGCGGTAAATCATCAAGAAAGTCGAATCCGCTTTCACGTTA